GCTGGGGTGTCTGGGGATAGGGGGTGTCAGGGAGGATGTAAAATGTCTCAGAAATGGGGGTGTGGGGGTGCTGGGGATGTCTGGGGACTAGTGGATGCTGGGGTGAGGCTGGGGTATTTGGGGGAGCTGGGGGTGTCTGGGGAACTGAGGGTGTTGGGGGTTAGGGGATGTCTGGAGGCTAAGAGATGTCTGGGGGGGTCTAGGGTATACGGGGGGAGGGATGGGTCTCTCCGAGTCTCTGGGTCTCAGTTTCTCTTGGTGTTTTCTGGGTAAGAGCGGGGAGACCTCTATCTAAAAGTCTGTGGTTCTCAATGTCTATGATTCTCAAATTCTACTCTTTTCGCTGTCTGTCACCGTAGCAGTCCACATTCCCCCGCCGCCAAAGGGAAAGCGACCTGTTCCCAGCACTTTCTGCCCAAGTCACAGACACTGCGCCTTGTGCCAGGGACCCTTTCTAAGAAGATCTAGAGGGTCTCGTGGGAGATGACTTATGTACAAGTTTCCTCCCTGGAAAAGTGGAACCACCGTCCTTCCATGGGAGGCCAATTACATGGAAGACACTAGTAACACTGGTTGCCCCAGAGCAAGGGGAGGATGTGGCAGGAATGAGATTTTTCACCGTATGCCCTTTTATACCTTTTGAATTTAGAGTTCTGTAATTCGAACACTGCGATTTTCCCATGACTCCGAGTCCGATGCTTGGGGATGCTATGGCTGATTCTGGAACTCCCAGATTTCACGCTTCTAAGGTCCCATGCACATGCCACCCCCCTGCCCCGGGGGTCAGTTCTGTGATCTCCACCCAGGGACCAGGCACCCCAGTCCAGGTGTCACCTGGGACTGGCCCTCCCACCCGCCCCCAACACACTGTGGGTTCTCTCACCTCAGCGGGGGGCCACAGTTGACCAGGCCGATGGTCCTGCTGATATAGGTGTCAGGTGGCAGCTCGCGGACTCCTGGGTTCTCGTGGAATCGCTCCACGCGTTGCTGGAAGCTGGTGGCAGGAGAGGGGAGGGTGGCAGACAGAGGGGGCCCCTCGCTGGGTACTGACCCTACCAAGCCACCACCCCTGCTGCGGTACCCCGCCCGTCCTGTCCTTACTGACCCCATTTCCTCTCTCCTCTCTCTGCTGGATCCCAGGTCCTGATGCCCCACCAGGGCTGCACCCCGCCCCCGGCCCCCATACCTCTGCAGGAACTCTGCCAGCCCCCCCAGGCAGCAGTGAGCCATCCGCTCCCCGAACTCCTGGCTGATGCGGGGCGCTCGCTCTGTATGCTCTTCCAGCAGCTGCGGGGCGCAGGATGAGAAGAGGTGAAGGGGCCAGGTCCAGCCGATCTGATCCCTCGATCTGCCCTGCATTGTCCCGCCCATCCCCCTGCCCCCTCCCCACTGCCTACCTCGCACACGTCCTGGGCCAGGCTGCTGGGCTGCTCCTCCGTGCTCCCCCAGCGCTCCTCGTCCTCCTGCAGCACCCGAAGAAGGGCTGCCCGGGTCTGAGCCTGCAGTGGGGAGACGGGAGATAGGCAGCAGTGGGGGTGGGGGGTCTGCCTCGCTCCCTCTTTCTCTGCCACGACCCCCTCGCCCTCAGCCCCAGCAGTTCTGGATTCTACCCTCGAGCTTGCCCAGGTGATGCTGGAGAGAGAGGCTGAACCAGGAAACCTCCTCAGCCCTGCTGTCCCCAAGTCTATGGCTTAGAGCTTTATGTTATAGTACAGAGTCCGTGGTTCTGAGCTTCCTCCACCTAATAGCCAAGGGGCTTAAGGGTCTATTTTTTTTTAATGTTTTTTTTAATTTATTTTTTTGAGACAGAGTCTCACTCTGTTGCCCAGGCTAGAGTGCCGTGGCGTCAGCCTAGCTCACAGCAACCTCAAACTCC